ATTTAATCCTTAATCTCTACATATACCTTATAGACAACACCTTATGTAGGTAGACACCCATATTATTAATACTTTTCTTATCCTACTCTATCTTCGGGATCGTACATATTTCATCTTTAGATCATTTCAAAATTAAAGATATCTATTTATAAATCGCAAAGTATTGTTGTCAGAAGCCGTCGAGACTTGCGTCTTGTGGCATCATGGATACCTCCAATCATAATGTCGGCGACGCGGTGCGACCGCCACCGAAAGACATGTCTCATCACTACTCCGATGTGACGAAGGCTAGAGCGCCAAGTAGGATGAAGGAATTCTATAAGTATTTCCTAATACCAAACATCGGACAACTAGCAGGCGGTACGAAATGCCTATCATCTTCACCTCATCTTCATCTCATCTTCATCTCATATTCATCTCATATTTATCATGTCGGCAATGTCTGTGCCGAACTCTAGGGGCTAACGTTGAACTTTGAATAATAGGTCTTCCTAGCGCTAGTCTCTTCCCCTTCGATACCTTAGAAGCTCAAACCGCGAAACCGGATCGATGGACCCCGACGCCTAACTATCCGGACCCCGATGACAAGCTGTCTTCCCGATTAGCCGCGACATCGATTTCGAATCCGGCCGTAGCCTCTCACGTCGTTGTGCCTCACGATGCCCCTACCTCGGATCCGCGGAAGAAGATAGATCTAGCTACCGCCTTACAATACGGTCAAGCTGATGGATATCCACCGCTACTTTCCTTCATCCGCGAATTTGCGCGGGATTACTTACACCCAAATGTGCCCTACAGGGGCGGGCCGGAGGTCATCTTCACAGTCGGCTCAACAGATGGCATGTCCAAGACATTAGAGGTATTCAGTAACGTCTGGGTAGAAGGGAAGAACGATATCCGAGAACGACCGGGTTTGCTATGCGAAATTTTCATGTACGCCAATGTACTAACCCAAGCACAACCCCGAGGAATCCAAGCCGTACCCATCGAAATGGATGAAGGGGGCATGTCACCATATGGCCCTGGAAGTTTGGAGGATGTCCTTGCGAACTGGGATTACAGCAAAGGAAAACGGCCACACATGCTGTATACTGTAACGTGAGTTTTTCCCGGTTGTGACTATCAATCCACTTTGGAATACGCGCATTGTACTAAACATTAATTCTGCAGAATGGGCCACAACCCGACCAGTGGCATTTTGTCTCTCGAGAGGAGGAAGGAATTATATTCGGTCTGCAGCAAATACGATGTCATTATCATCGAGGATGACCCCTACTGGTATCTCCAGTTTCCTTCAGCAGCAGTCGAAGAAGCGAAAGCGAGGAACTTACCGATTCCCGAACCCCAAATAGCGAATACGCTCGAGAAGAAATCCGGGTACGAATACTTGGATTCTCTTGTGCCATCATTCCTTAGTATTGATGTGGACGGACGAGTTGTGAGATTGGATACTTTCTCCAAGACTGTAGCTCCGGGATGCCGAATGGGATGGATTACATCGAGCCCATCGATTTGCGAGCGCATTCTTCGCGTCAGCGAGACGGGCACGCAGCAGCCGTCCGGGTTCGCCCAGGTCGTTATCGCCGAGACTATCATGGGGCCGCAGCCCGAGGCGTCGGCAGCGTTCGCAGCTCGATCCGCAAAGAATCGGGCTACCTTTAGCGGCTGGAAGATGGACGGCTGGGTGCGATGGCTCGCCGGTCTGCGGGGCCAGTACGAGAGGCGCATGAACCGGATGTGCAGGATCCTCGAGGAGAACGCGTACCAGCTCAAGCAGTCGACACCGATCCGCGAGTCGGACTCCGACTGGGGCGTCATCACCAAGACCCAGCTGTACGACTTCAAGTGGCCCCGCGGCGGCATGTTCCTCTGGCTGCACATGCGGTTCGAGACGCACCCGCTCTGGAAGGCTGCCGGGTCCCGCGGCAACCTGATCAACGGCACCGCGCTGTCGACCGCCCTCATGGTCTTCCTCACCCGCAAGCCCTACCTCGTCCTCGTCAGCCCCGGCCTCATGTTCAGCGCCACCGACAAGATCCGCACCGAGCGCGGCTGGGCCTACTACCGCCTGTGCTTCGCCGCCGAGTCCGAGGAGAATATCGACAGGTGCTCCCTGCGCTTCGGACAGGGCGTTCAGAGGTTTTGGCGCATTAAGAATGTCAAGGAGCTGGAGGCGCTGCTGGAAGATGCTAGTGCTGCGTCTGCGCAGGCGGAGGACGACGAGGCGCAGCTGGTGAATCTAGGCAGTTGGATGGGATGCTAAGGGAGGGTTGCTGATATGTTCGTAAGGATATATTGGAACATATGTTCAAACAAATACGTGGAGGGGCCCTGAGCGAACGAACGGTAGTATGAAAGATATATATATATGTGTACTCTGTGCTCGCGAGGTTGGACTATAGATATGCATGTCGTTTGGGTACATATTTTGCTTTTTACATAGAAGGAACTCAATGTCGATATGAAGCGAAAAAGAACGCCTAGAATTTACTTTGCACTTATAGCCTTACGACAATTGAGTTCTAATTGTATGAATGGGGCTAAATCAGGTGGTCTCATAGCCACTGCCATGTTACAAGGAGAAGGGGTAAGTAAATTAGCTACAGTAAGACTAATCAGAGCTCAGTGGGCTAATGGACATTATTCCGCCACGTGAATTCACAGAACATTAAAAACGAACTTTTTAGACTATCTTGGAGGGCTCATTACGATACGACGCATAGACAATTCACCGATGAGATGGGGAAGTGGCGATCAGAATAAGAATGTCATTGATTGATTTCATCAGACCCTATGATCCAGTACGCCGTGACTATTTGCAACCGATTTACCGTTTTTCTCCCTCCTCTCTTCTAGACTACGCTGCTCACCAAGCTAGTCTAAATCTAATCCTCGCGCAGGAGGTCGAGGAAAGCCTTAGGAGGCTTGGGGGGCTTGCCAGCCTCCGCCTTTTGCTGGCCAACCTGGTTCTTCACAAAGGTGGAGTGGTAGGGGTTGAAGCGTAGCAGGACTTGCTTGTTGCGGAGAGGATTCTTCTGGACGGCAGCGCGCTTGGTAAGAGGACCGCCCTTAGGAGCGTTGAGGACGCTCTGGATTTCAGAGCTGTTGATCAGACGGCTCAGGTCGGACTGGGAGACCAAGTTGGAAGGTAGAAGGAAGTCCTTCTTAAGCTCGGAAGGCTTGGTGGTGGTGCCGTAGATCTTGTCGAGGGCCTTGAAGGCAGCCGAGGTCCAGACGATGAATCGTCCGAGGTGACCACCAGGGGCAAGCTGGAGGAGGTTCAGGGCGTAGACGGAGCTAGTCTCGACACCAGGAAGGTTGCGGGTACCAGTGACAAGCTCCTTGCCGTCGACCTCGGGGTCGTAGATGACCAAGGGTCCACGTCGCTGGCGGTGGCGGCGGCCTCGCAGCTTACCCTTACCAGCACGTAGCTTCTTCGACTTCTTGGCCTTCTCGACGTCGGCAGCGGCACCAACAGCGTTCAGGATGGCGAGGGCACCAGCAGTCTTGGCAGCAGCACCGCCCTCGAAAGCAGCGGAGTCAACGACGAGAGGGACTTCCGGAACGGAAGAGATCTGGTGGCCGCGGGCGAGTAATAGAGGGGGAACAGCGGAAGCGGCAAGAGCAGAGGCAGTAGCGAATCGCCTTTTCGAGAGTTAGTTAGTATGTTTCGGAGGCAAAATCAAATCCTGATATCAACTCACTTCTGGCCCTGGTTGATCTTGATGTGCCACTTTCGCCAGATCTTGGTAGGAGCGAACATGCGACCGGAACGGCACATGTTACCGAAAGCAGCCTGACCGGCACGGTGGGTACCACCACCAGAGACACGGGGGATACGAGCGACGGCACGACCTATGGGATATTGTTAGTAATGTCGACAAATTTATTATCCTTAGGCCAATATTTTGGCGTTGAGCATTATCGATAGTATCTATGGCAGAAATTTTGAACTTCCTCTTCCCTAACGCCTTGAGTATAAAAAACACGAAAATTACTGACCAGTTCCCCACGATTCGGCAGAGGTTTGGTGACCGGCCTTCTCGCTCACAGCATAGGGCTGTCGCTTGTTCTTGGCCATTCCAGTGTGGACTTGCTGGACGATATCAGGTCGGATCGGGGAGGAAAAGACGGTAGGAATGGTATGGGTAGCTCCCGAGGGAGAACCATCCTTGCCGATGATGGTGACAGTCGGTCGAGAGGCCATCGTGAAGGTCGTAATGCTGGAGAATTGGTCTGGTTAGTCAATTAAAAACATAAGAGCTAAATTAAAGTAGAATCGAGAAGGGGAACAAAATAAAAATGGCGGGAGGGAGAGACTAACTTGCGCTGAACTTACCTCGACGCTGGGTGTTGATGGTCTCAGGTTGCGATTTGGTGATGTTGAACTGCGAAAAATCAAAAAGCCTTACCACTGAATTATTTTTCTTGTGGGTTTGCGCGAGGGCTAAGCGAATTTTTTCGGGGGAATTGACCCACTTTCCCATCTACCAGCTCCGTTATATGCATTATGCATCTAAGCAGTAAAACAAACTCAGTTTACCCCGCTGTTTGCACTGTGCTACTGTACGTTTGAGCTCTGATCACGATAACCTCTACTTCTCCAAGAGAAGCTACCTAACTTCGCATGCTCTACAAAATGCTTTAGCAAAAATTTGAACTTGAAGATCTTACGGCAATAATTTGTACGATTGTTTCATATTCATACCTACACGCTGAGTTTGGTATGCAAATACCCTATTTACTTTCTCTGTACCTTGGAGAATCTTGATCACCTATTGATAGGACCAGTACCTATCACATTCTTATTAGAAATATTCATACAGGCAGCTTTCAAACATCAAGTGACAGTATCTCGCTCGATTAAAGTTGCTCCATGCCATATATGCTAATCAGTTTTTGATGTGGATATCTCTGGAACATAAGAACCATGGAGAAAAAAAAAGGACCAAGAAAATTTTAACATCGAACAATACGTCCAGAAAAACAGCAAAAGTAAACTCCGAATCGGGGAATCGAACCCCGGGCTTGACGGTTTTCAAGATGAAATCTTATGAGAGCGTCAAATGTTAGCCACTACACCAATTCGGATTGTTAATAAAGATAGTAGAAAACTTTTATTATATTTCAAACCTTCCCTCGCGCAAAAATCGCGGCTCCCCACTTAAGCTGCTTTTAGGTAATCTTTGCGTCACTTATCCTATATTGGTACTGTCTATATTTAATTGTTATCATAGTTAAAGTTCACACACATATTCAATTCTGTCTATTTGATCCAAGTCGCATTTATTTACAGGCCTGGTACTTTTGCTAGCTTGACCCATTAACATACGTTACCCTTTTTGCCTCTTCGGTTTTCACAATAATATGGTATCGGCCTCAACCCCAACAACGGAAATGCACTTAAATATCTATTTAAAGGTAGGTACTTAAGTTTTCTAAAAAGCTTTGGTTATTGATATTAGTCATTGATGTCAACATCATGAAACCTTCTTACGTTCTTCGCTATATATGTACTATGGTACTCTGGCGATAAACTTGAAGGTCTATTGTCTTACCTGGATCAAACGTTGGTACCTGTTCCATACGCGTCTTATAAGAGTCATTCGAAGTTGTGGTCTAGTATTATTGTAACTGACAGGTACTCCTGCAACATTGACTTAAAATAAGCGCATCGATTGACTTTGTGCTTACAATAAGCCTAGAAGCCGAGTTCACGGATGAGAGCTTGGGGGACCGTCGCGATGCGATTTCCCTCCCTGGACAGAAAAACCCTATACATACTACATTTATTGTATCATATATCATAAAAGTCTCGTATGAGTACAATTCAGCTTTGTAACTGCTTGGATAATATTCGTTGGACTGAGTTGTTGGCTTTGGTCAGGCGACATGCACTGCGATACCAAAGAAAGTTATAAGTTGAAATAACGCCGAACTAGAGTCGCGGATGTTGGTGGAGTACACACCTGGCCTAGATCTTTTTCGGGGTACCTTGGTACAACGCGTACGGGAAATCCCAAGATTAAGGATCTCCAAGCTTACTGGCTTATTACCTGCAGTGCTTTCCCGAGCCGCTGACGAGCCGCTGCTGATCCTCGTCGCGAACCCATCCATTTCTTCAAGAGGCCCGCTTTATCCACGTGGACTTGAGCATCGGAGCGAAAAACAAATATTAACATTTCTTGTTTCTTTTCCGCCCTCGATAGCGCTTAAGCTAGATGTATTGTGTACAACAGGGTGGCTTTATGTCTTGCTATTAGCAGCTAGAGTACAAGATACCTCGTTGGATCGTTGAGTACTTTTGTTTCATTCATATCAACCCGATGAGATATATAGGATCTCACCAACATTATGCATGTACTATGGCGAGATCAACGGCTCAGGCCAAATGCAAACTCCAAACTCCAAATTGAGTCCGAGAGCCCAACAGCCCGGTCACGGGCAGTGCCATCATGATAACTGGCATATGTGTGGATTGCTATGTAAGTCGTATGATACCCGTCGACGTTTGCCTGGGCAGCGCCGAGGACCGCTGTTTCGAGTCCGTTGAGAGTAAGATTCTATGAGACCTATCCTTATGCTAACTCAGCTATAGCAAGCTAGAGATGCTGTGCATCCGAGTCGGATTACGTATCATTCAAAGGTTACTACCTATTATACTAATACGGAAGGTTCCCCGTCTTGGTGGCTTACGAAAATGAACTCTCAGCTATTCTGGAGTGGTCGATTAAACGCGGAACTGGTCGAATGACTCTAGGTACTCAGCTCTCGAACCAACAAGAATAATTGCATAGATTTAGGTAACAGCGTATGGACCCTCCACTAAGGTCTCGATGGCAATGTTCAACATGTTTACAGGTCTCTTTCTATTCCTTGGACAATGGAGCCCGCTTACGCCTGGGGCTTACGATGCGAAACGTTCGTTCGATATTTCCCAAACTTAATATGAGGGTATACATAGCAAGCCTTGAGTGGTCAATGTGTCGGATGTGTGCATTCGTTTTGTTTACGAATGGGCATGTTAGTCAAGTCGTTTTAACTTATTTACGACATGGAATTGTTTTCTAGGGCATTACGAACCAATACGCTTTTGACCGGTATCCGAAGTTGCATTGCATTGTGTACCACTGCAAGGTCTCGTATTGTGTGGCTGCAGGGGACTTGCAGCTGTCAGTCTTCGGCGGCTCGCCCTCCTATCTCGCAGAAATTACCCAAAGTTTGCCAGGCACGAGGCGATAGTCGAGAGGACGTTATAATATGGGTGCTGAGATATCTCCCATATCGGTATCATTCGTCGCCATGGATTTTGGGTCCGGCATCTCCGTTATCTCTTCTTATATCGGTTCGGATGCCTGTCGGTTGAGAAAACGTCGTCGTCGTTCGAAGACAATTTGGTTGCGGAGGTACATATCCTTAGCTTCACTGTTCAGCAATTTATGCCTTCAAATTCTATATACCATACGGGCTTCACTTGGTTTAATCATGTTTTGGAGCTGTATGATTTGGTGGATAGTGTTGCTGTGTGTCCTTGCAACAGCAGATCCTACCTGGCCGTCTCCTAACGACGAACTCGAAGAGATTATGTATCAAGTCAAGGGATACAGAGGCAGGAATTTTGGTGGGACCGTTGTTCCTTGCTCTAATGAAGCTTCTGGACCCGGTCGACAGAATGCTGCGGAATGGCTGCGGACGGCCTTCCATGATATGGCTACGACTACACATCTGAGTGGCATACGAGCTGGCGGCTTAGATGGCTCCTTGCAGTACGAGTTAACCAGCTCAGATAACATCGGCCCAGGATTCAATTCAACTCTCAAGTTCATGGCCGACTACTACACGAGTCGGTCGGGTGTAGCAGATCTCATTGCGCTAGGTGTATACTACGCCGTCAGGTCCTGCGGTGGCCCGGTGGTGCCTGTTGCAGGTGGAAGAGTCGATGCCCTTACTGCTGGTCCCATAGGCGTTCCGCTACCGCAGAATACTGCTTTCACATTCGAGCAACAATTTGCACGAATGGGGTTTAGCAAGACTGAAATGATTCAAGTTACCGCCTGTGGTCATTCTATTGGTGGCGTTCACGAGAGCGAATTTCCTACAATCGTTCCCGTTGGATCTACTCCAAATGGCGAGGCCCCTTTGGACTCAACTGTTGCACAATTCGATAACAAGATTGTCACGGAGTACATTGCAGGTAACACTACCAATCCCCTGGTGGTTGGTCCATCGGTCAAGGCCACTAGAAACGCGGATTACAAGGTGTTCAACTACGATGGCAACGTGACAGTCAAGGCACTGGCTGATGCCGCCGAGTTCAATAACGTATGTGCGACTGTTTTTCAAAAGATGATTGACACAGTGCCCGACGGGGTGGTTTTGTCTGATCCTATCAAACCATATTCTGTAAAGCCAGTTGATATGCAGTTGAAGCTCAACTCCGACTCCTCAACAATGCAATTGACTGGAAATATACGTGTTCGAATTACTGAAATAGGGGGCGATTCCATCTCTAGCTTAACACTGAACTATAAAGATCGAAGCGGCGGCAACAACTGTGGCAACACGACTTGTACATACACGACCACTCTCCTGGGTTCTACCCAGGGTTTCGATGATCAATTCATTGTAAGTCTTTCACACAACGCCTTCTTATATTCCTCACCAAGGTCTAACATGGTCCAGTGGTTTCCTATTAATACAGCCATTCCAACTTCCACAGGAATCTCGTCTTTCACCATTACCCTCAATATGGCCGACGGCACCACTCAATTGTACGATAATAATGGAAACGCATATACGATACAAGATGCCATCTTCATTCAAAAACCTCAAAGCTGCCTTCTTTCGGGGACTCTCACCGTTACCGCGGCCGTAAGTCAATTTTTAAGGTCTTGGCTGCGGCTAGTTCTAGGTACTGATTTTTTGTTCTCTCCGTAGGTTCGCAATGACCGCACATCACTCCCTGTCAATATGCTAATCTCATACAAGACCCCAACGGGGAATCCTAACCGTCCGGTTCCCATCCTGAATAATGCCACAACTACCATGACGGGCGGCACTTGCATAGGCTCATATACCTTATATACAGCAACTTATACTGGCCTTGGCGATCTCGCTTATGCATCCAAGATCGATGTCATCAGCGGCAGCGATTCGTCTGCTCTAGTAGACGGATTTAATGCGGCAAGCGAACTAGAAGCAATATGCCAATCCTTCCAGAACCCGCCAACTGACAGCTGCAATATCGTATAGGTCTCAACATCTCCTAGACCACCAACTACCTCGTTGATTTCTGATCCATTGCTGGCTAAGTTACAGAGACGTCGGAAAGCTATAACGCTTTACGTCTAGAATGTGTAGATAAAATTTAGCTGCGGGATTGTTGGTCGGTCGTGTGGCCGCATGCATAATTATCTAGCATACAAGCGGCATCAAGTACATCGACGCGATGCAACAAGAGAATCAAAGTCAAGGAATGTTTATTACCTGGTAACACCTAGGTATTATTATAAGAGTCTAGCTTTCAGAAGCAAGCATTATAATGATTTAAATCGATAGACTCAATATTCTAGAAATACTGCCTTAGGTAGAATGATATAAACATGCTACGATTAAACATGAATTGTGCTTACCGAAGAGACGATGTTATTCTTAATGTTAGTTATTCTTACAGCGAGATTTAGTTTAGGTACAGCCCGGTACTTCTCTAACGTGGATACCCCTGGCTGACTTAACTGGTTTAGTGGTGAGTTGTAGCACGTCATTAGCGTAAAAGTGCAATGGGTTTTAATGCAAGGCTGTAAGTGAGCCAAGCACAGTGCGCACTTCATCTGCACAGTGATAGCTAAATTCTCAAATACTGGCAGCCGCAGCTCCTGCAGACATCCAACTTTGATACTATTCCATTCGGATGGATCTTTGGTTGCATGTAGGGAAGGCGTGGATCACGAATCATATGCGCAGATACGTACTAACCAATACCCCCACCACCACCCTGCGCTTTTCAAGAGTGCTGAAGCCTACCTCATACCTACAACAATATTGGAATACAATATTGGACATCGCACTTTCACTAGGCCGACACCCGTAGT